CTTGTTGAGCTTGCATACAAATGAAGAATCTGTTCCATCCATTCCAGGTGGTAACTTCATGTACACCTCTTCATGTAAATCGCCATGTAAAAAGGCATTATTTACATCAAATTGATGTATTCTCCACTTCTTTTTAACAGCCAATGCTACTAAACTTCGAACTGTATTGAATTTGATTACAGGTGAAAACGTTTCATTGTAATCTATCCCCTCTTTTTGAGTAAAACCTTTAGCCACTAATCGAGCTTTATAACGCTCAATCGATCCATCTGCTTTATACTTCACTTTATATACCCATTTGCAGCTATGGGTTTTCCTTTAGGAAGCTTGACAATTTCCCATGTATTGTTAGCTTTTAAGGCATCAAACTCTTTTTTCATTGCTTCTTCCCATAATGGATTGCCTTTTGCTTGATGATAGAATAATGGTTCATTGATTTTAGGAGTGATGGAAATATTGTTAACCATTGCAGAAACATGATTGGAAGCATGATAAGCAGAATTAGAACCATTGATGAACATATTGGTAATGGTGTGAGAACAATCATCAAATTGACTTGTCACATTGTAACATATATAATCCTTTAAACGAGTTGGTTGAGTGATGTTTCTGTTAGATCTTCGAATTGGAGGTGGTACTGCTTCATGATTAACAGGAAAAACAGGTGGTATTTCTTCATGATTGATATGGTCATTGTTGATAGGAGGAACATGTAGTACTTTTCATGATCTGGTTCATTGGGAGTTTGATGCTCTTGATTTTCATTGGAGCAATTATGTTCACTTTGGACATCTTCATTGAAAGACATGGGAATATATGAATCTTGGACATTAATACCCTTTGTGAAATGAAGAGGGAATACATGTTCAATAAACTTAACATCCTGTGAAATAGAAATGATTCTTGTTTCTAAATCAAGAACTTTATAACCCTTTTGACCAAAAGGGTATCCCACGAATATGCAAACTTTTGATCTAGGCATAAATTTGTCCCTGTTGACCGATAAAGTTGAAACAAAACATAAGCAACCAAAGGATTTCATGTCATTCAAATTTACCTTTTTCTTGAATAAGACTTCATAAGGAGAACTGTGATTCAACACTCTTGAAGGGTACGATTTATGATGTGAGCAGCAGTCAATACACATTCTCCCCAATAACATTTTCCTAGCCCGGATTGGAAAAAATAATGCACGTGATACCTCCAACAGATGTTTATGCTTTCATTCAACCACCCCATTTTGTTGGGGTGTGTACGGACAGGATTTTTGATGAACTATACCAAGAGATTGAAAAAATGAAATGCCCTCATGACTAGATCCAAGTTCAAATGCATTATCAGTACGAATATTCTTTATAGTGACTTGAAATTGAGTTTGAACATACTTGATAAATGCTGAATAGTTGTGAATGCACTAACTTTATGTTTTAATAAATGTATCCAAGTACATCTACTGTGATCATCAACAATGGTCAAAAAATACCGAAATCCATTGTGAGTTGGAGCCTTGTATGGTCTCCATATATCTATATGAACCAGATCAAATGGTTGTTTTGATACAGTCTCACTCAATGAAAAGATAGTTTGTGTTGTCTTGCTTGATAACAAACAATACATGAATTGAACAAGTCATTCGTACATTCCTTATTTGTAAGAGATAACAATTCAGTTTTTTCAAATGGTAAATGACCTAATCTATTATGCCACAGAGTTACATCATTCTTTTTGCATGAAACTATCTGATTGACATTAATAGATGTAGGAGTCTTCAAGTACTTGTTGCCACGAATATACAGATTGTTCACTCTTTTCCCTATAATGAAGCTATCCTTTGATAAAGGGGCCTGCATTACACAAAAATCATCAGTAAAGATTATCCAAACCTTTAACTGTTTGGTGATTTTGGCAATAGATATGAGATTATGTCTGAACTCTGGAACATATAGAACATCACGGAGATTGATGGTATTGTGGATTGGAACATCTCCAATTTGAAAAACTGGTAGTGTTTGACCATTTGGCAAAGATATGGAATGAGGCTGAGGAAAATTCATTAGTGAAGAAAATAAGGTTTTGTCTGAACAAATATGATCTGTTGCCCCCGAATCAATGATCCATGAAGATTTTTCACCATTTGAACCAAGAACAACATTTAAGATGTATGATATATGATTTCCTGAAGAATCAGTATAGTTACCTGCAGTATCCATTGATCCATCAGTAATCACAGAGTTGATTTGAGTTGATCCACTGTTATTGTTCAGAAGCTGCATCAATTGCTTGTACTGCTCAGGTGATATAGATTGAGAATTATCAACAACATTATTTGCCATTGAATCCATCTTCTTTGACTTTGTGAACTTGAAATCGGCTGGAAAACCATTCAGTCTGTAACATGTTGACTTCACATGCCCTGCCCTGACTTCTTGCAGTGAGAACAGTTAAGATTCCTTTTTGATGATTGATTCACTTGCATTGCCATGGCCTCCGTAACAACATTTGGATTTGAAGAAATATCTCTCTACCTTTCTTCATGAATTAACAATGAATGAACAGTAGAAATGTTAGGTAATGGATTCATCATGAAGATCTGTCCTCTTATAGCTTTATATGAATCGTTTAATCCCATCAGTAACTGAATTAAACGTTGTTCTTCCATAAATTTGTTAAAAAGAGCAGCCGATTCACATGTACATGCAGGAACTTCTTGAATCATCTTTAATTCATCCCATATCTTTTTTATTTTTGTGAAATAGCTAGAAAAATCCTCAGATCCTTGATTAATAGAGTATAATTTCTTTTGAACTTGATAGATCAAAGTGCCATTAGATTGAGAATACCTTTCTCTTAGTTCAAACCAGATTTCCTTTGCTGTCTGGAGAAACAATACACTTTCAGCGATTTCTTTGTTTAAAGAATTCAAGATCCAAGAGATGACCATTGAATTAACTCTATTCCATGCGTGAATGAGATCTGAACTTGCAGCAGGAGGATTCATAGAACCATCGACAAAACAGAGTTTGTTCTTTGCTGAAAGAGCTAATGTCATCGATCTCTTCCAGGCTGCAAATCCTGTTCCATCGAAGAGTTTTGACACCAGAATCGTGCTTGGATTGTCTGAAGATCCAAGATAATAAGGGCTTGAAATTTCAATGTTAGATCCATTGGATCCGTTTGCTTGATTTTGAGTAGAACTTGACATGATTTGAAAAACAGAGATCAAATGAAGTGAATAAGAAACAATAAGAATGAAATCAGGAACTTCTGCTCTGACACCATGTAGAAAGATGAGAAATGAATTGATTGAGAGAGAAAATTGAGAGAAGTGTTTTTCATTGTTATTGAATAATAATACAATATATCAATATATACTGAACAGAAAAACATTGCGTACTAATTACGATTCTAACATTTAAATGACGTGTCACTTCTCTAATGGTTGACTTATTGACTTTTATTCTCCAATAGTGTTTGATAATATGCTTAAGTGAACGCAGGTAAGAATATGAGCCTATAAACCATCCTCTTGCTCAAACTTGGGTTCAAACATGTTGGGGACATATTTTATCAATAAACGGATATGGAAAATATGCTTGTTAGAAGCAAAATCATTAACTTAATTTTTGTCAGTTTTGAAGCATCATGATTCAGTGAAAGAGATTAGATTCATTGTTGTAAAGAGGAGTCTAGACAAGAAATGGTAGTAAATGACTAGATGGTTGTGGTCTTGTACCACCACTCATTGCTAGTTGATAGATTCTATTGAAGTGTCACTTATGTAATTTTATTTAATTACTTCTGTACTAAAGAAATAAACTGATGTAAGCTGCTAGAAAATAGGGCCTGATAAAATTATTTTAGATTGTTTTAAGAGAAATAGATAAATGAAATGTTTCACAATAATGTAAGAAGTAATGCAAAATCAAGGATGAATTAGTCACCCTCAATGCAAGGTGCATTGAACTTTAACATTGTTGTTTAATGTGATTTGTATGTTTTGACTGTGTCTGGACCTTGCAGGCATCGGTTAATATGGTTAATATGATCTCTTAATTGTTTAAAGACACTCTTTGAGATCTTTTGAATTTACTTTTTCAAGATTACTGAGATGCTAAAGAATAGGATATCTGCTAAAGTTTAATTAGATTGTTGCTTTCATATAGAAGGAAATTGTATGTATCTCAAGATGGCAGCAAGTTCTTCTTCCAATTGTTTTCATGTTATGTGCTTTAAGCTTGGCTTGATATAGACAAGCATTAACCAAGCATTCTAATGTTGAACCCTATTATTATATCCCTTTGACTTCTTGAATACAAGACACTAAGGCCCTGATTTATTGTTTTTCCCTAATACATGATGCTTAAACACATTTGTGAAAACCATGACACTCAAGGGAATGGAAGAAAACAATGAGGTTAAATTTTTGAAAAATTACAACTTAATGGGGAAACATCTTCTCGATTTTCTCTATTAAGTCATTCTTTATGAGTTAAGTCATAAAGAAGCATCTACATATAGGTTACTTGACTGAGTATTGTCTTCATTAAGTGAACTAATTCAAAATAAAAATAAAAATAAAAATAAATAAAAAAAACTACACCTAATAAAAGATTTTATGCATAATGGAACTGTAATGAAACTTTTGAGGGCTTGGTACATGAAGTGATTTTTCCTGACTTGTTCCATAAGTAATGATCATCCAACATGTTGTTGCCATTCAAGGCTTTTGAAAAATCTCATCTCTCTGATATAAAATATTTACAACAGAAGGTTACATTTTCTATGTATAAATAGATGTGGCCTCAAAGAATTGATAGCACCTGTGGGTTTAGAAACCAAGCCCACATAACAAAACTTCTTTGTATAATTATTGTTATATTAGAAAATTTGTTTGGGTAAAAAAGGTTTCACCAAAGAACTAAGTATTCAGGATACTACTCAACCAATAATGATGACAAATGAATCTTATAATTATGTTTACGAATAATGATAAACAGTTACCACTTTTGATTGAATACAATTAGGAAAGGAATTGAGTACTAAAAAACGTGGACATGAATGTCACAGTTTTCAAAGACACAGAATGATTGAAATCATTGTAACTTATCTCCAACGGTTCTTGATACTGTCTTTGGAAGCAAAAAGGATACACCATTTGTAATCCAACATCAGAATTTACATCATCATGAAGAGCACATCAGAAATGCACGAATCACATACCATCGATGCATAGGAGAAAAATAGGTTATAGCCAACAATGACCGCTTGGAAATAGAGTTAACCTTTATTATTCATTAATATGGGGGTCTTCTGAATTCCTGCATGAATTAAAGTATATAAATATAAAGTTGAATTAATGGAGAAGGATCCATGGTTGTTGACAATAACAAAACAACATACATGACTAGTTTTGAAATGTACTCTAAGAATTATTAAATCAAGGAACATGTATTTACCTCTTGTTTCATCTTTATAATGGAGTTGATATCCTCCCCTGCAGCATAAAACAGGCCAAAACTTGTTTCTATTTCTCTTAGCTGTGGAGTTGTAGAATTTCCATTGGTGAAAGTTGTTATTGCTGGGTAATACTTAATGCACAAAGTATCCAATAATGGGAATGAAAAATCCTCCTTCCCGAAGCTAAACCCCTTAAGACATTGAAGACTTCCAAGTACTAAGGACTTTAGATGAGGTAACACAATCTCTTTCATTTTGCCATCAGTTCGTTCCTCCTCTTCTTCTACAACACCACTTGCATCCTTAACAATTACCTCTTCAATATGCTTGCAGTTCTCTATACGTAGCTCTTGGAGTTGCAATAGACTACCAGCCATGAAACTAGTAAATACATGTTCTAACCTATCACATCCCCATATATCGACTCTTGTTAGGTTTGGAAACTCAAATACTGTCCATTGATTGCTCTTCCATATATACCTCAGACCACATAGATAATTCAACTTCATTTCTCTGAGGTTTCGAAGATTGAAAAGAGTAGTAGTAGTAGTAGTAGTAGTTTGTGACGATTCATCAAAACCACTACCACTACTACAATTACTATTTTTATTTCTCCCTGCTGCTTCCAATGCAGTTTCAAATACCTCCTCTACCTCCCAACATGAGAATACAGTTATCTTTTCCAGCTTTTGCAGTTGCAGCAACTCACTGGATGGAATAATCTTCTTAACATAACTGTTTATGTTTACATCTAACTCGATCAAGTTATGAAAAGACCAAGGCATCCCGTATGAGCTGGGGTATGGTGTCTGCAAGTCCAATAAAGAAAATGTAGGCATATGTTAAACAAAAACATTTGAAATATCATATATTGTACTAATTTGAACAATATACAAGAGATTATAATTATTAATCACGATAGTACTTAATTATAAATCCAACTAAAAGTTATCCAATTCATGGAGTACTATATTTGATCTCATAAATTAAGTTAGATATGCAGAATACGTTCTGGAAAATTTTGATTCAAGTGGCAACAAAAGATTAGACCCAAACTGGTATCATTTTGTTTTAATACTTTTACTTGGCCTCATGGTTTCTTAATTTGATGATGCCATATATATATATATATATATATATATATATATATATATATATATATATATATATATATATATATATATATATATATATATATATATATATATATATATACACACACACACACACACAAGTAATTATACCTGACGATGTGCAGCAGTTGTGACATGAAAGTTAAGACCACATTCTCCAAGAGTATGTTTGCCTAATCCTGTGTGTATATACTTGAGTTGGGGGGCTGTGGACCCACCAGGTGCAAATACCAGCATTTTAGGACAATCAATGATCCCAACCATATCCAATGAAGGCCAGAGGAATCCATTCATCCCCAAGAAGAAACCCTCCAGCTCAGGTAGATCCAATAGTACAATGGACTTTAGATGAGGCAAGACCACAACCTCCTTCGATGATGATGATGATGCATTGTCTTCTTCCTTCTTCACAATCTCTTTCAAGGCCTTGCAATATGTTATAGTTAACTCTTCGAGCTGTCTCATGCTTGCAAGTGCAGAGAATGTGAATATGTGTTCCAAACCCCTACAACATGTGATGTGCAATATCTTTAGACTGGGAAGCATAATTACGTTATTTAGCCTTGGAATTCCACCATTTCCTTCATCACAACCACTCTTTTCAAATAATTCCTTCATCCCATCACAAGACCTTACTGTCAGCACTTGAAGCTTTTGCATTTGTCCTGCTGCATAACATGGAATCACACTTGACAATACATCACATTTATATATCTCTATCTCTCTAGCGTATTGGCATAAACTCCAAGAAGCGACACCTGCTTCTAAAAACTGCAAAACGCGTGGAAATTTGATGTAAAATTAAACTATGTACTTACCAGAGCTTAATTGTATGTTACAAAACTACATACATATACACAACTGTGGTATGAGAAAACCAATTCAACATTTTAATTTTAATGCTAAATCAACACCAGTGTTCTCCATATGAAAAATACAGTTTCCGTTTTTTATAAATAATGCCAGGGTTCACTAAAGATAAAATAAATGACACACCACTCTACAACCAAAAATTTTAGAATGCAAAATCAATGAAATTGAGAAAGCATATGTAATTGTTTAGCACAACAAGCAGCTAAAAATACTCATATCTTCTAGTTGAAATAGCCAACTCAAAGGTTTTCTATCAATTTGGTTGATGATGAAATTCGTTTTGGGTAACATATTTTAAAGCGCTGTTGAATGATGTGCGTAAATTAAAGCAAAATCAGTTTCAAGCATAAATTAAATGATGAGAAGTGAATAATTTTCTGGGTGCTAATGGAGACCGGCTGGAACCTGGCCAACAGAACCAATTAAATGATTCATCAGGAAAACAAACATATAATATTGTGATAGACAATATTCAACCTTGCATAGTTCTCCATTAATACTTGTGTTTGAAACTGATAGTTAATTATGCATGATTTTGTTTGTAGCATGATGGCCCCTAATAGCTAAACTAAGTTACTATGTTGTCTAATACCTAGCGCCTTCTTGGTTCTTTCTTGTTCAGATTAGAGAACATAAATGTGTTATCTTGGGTTTGATTTCAGTTCTTTTTTACAAACATGACACCTTTAGTATTTATAAAACCAAAAAGCACCAAAGAATAACATTAAATAATATCAATATATTATAATACGTATAATTAAGAAAAGTAGTACTAAATCATATTTGGCTTTGAAAAAAAAGACAGACGAAAATGTATCATATGACCATTACAAATTCAATTGAATATATATTTGATAATATAATTAAACAAATTCATAAGTCAGATAGTAATAAAGCTTTAAAAATGAAATAGAATTAGAGGAGTAAAATGGAACATTCTAAGAGGTTGATTCTTTGGGTTAGTTACACAAAACACAAAACTCAAAAAGCACTTAGTAGAATAAAAATGGTCGACAGTATTTGACCTAAAAAGCTACCTTCTCTAATGGTAAAAAAAAACATTCTAAGAGGTTGATTCTAAAGAATTGATCTCTAAAAAAACCTTCAATTAAAGATACTCTAAATATGAGAACTTAAATATATAAATGGTTGAAATTCTGGCTATAATGGATGCAATAAAAGTTTAAATCTCTTGTAGGTGATTTGGTGATTTTCATAGAATATTGCAAAGAAAAATGGATGTTAACAAAAAAATTAAATAAATACTTGTATATGTACAAAACATACCTCAAATTGATCAAGTGAAGCAGTAGCTGTAGTGGTATTGTTGAAAGATATTGTATTGCTCCCATCCTTGGTACCACCTCCACCAATACACTTCAGATTCTTCATGTATCTTATAATGAGAGAATCAAGCTGAGGGAACAAGATGGTGCTTGTGCGGGTAGATGTATTCATTTCTTCATCCTTGTCATCTTTGTTTGAAACAACTTCTTCAATACCATAACATAGTTCTATCTCGACTTTCTTTAGGTTGGAAAGAAATTTAGCCATGAGAGGTGAAAACAAGTACTTAATGCTTTTGCAATTATAAATACTTATATTTGTGAGGTTGTGGAATGGTGATTCTGATTGCTGTTTTGGAAGAGTGATGAATTTATTCCAGTTGCTGCACTTCCACACATGACTCATGTTGTCCATATAACATAGAATCAAATGCTGGAGGTTGGGAAGTATAATAGGCTGTTGTTGGTTATGGTGAGTTGTTACCAATTCTCTACTTGTTGGACTCTCACTATCTATCTCAAACACCACCTCCACTCCTTTAACTTTGTTCAATAAAAGTTTATGGAGGTTATGAAAAGAGTGCATGAGACAGGATGGGAATACATTAGAAATACAGCTAGTAGTAACTTGTAATGTCTCTTCCTCTGACAGAATATCAGTCTGCAGACATATATTTCAACAAAAAATGCAGCTAGTAACATGAGTACCGAATTGTGTTAATACTTTATATTCACACTTAGAATTTTGGATTTGCAAAAGATTGTTTTAATTTTAGGTAATTTTTCAAGAAACATTTGCGAATGATGGAAATTGTCAAACAAGAAACAAAGTTTAGTTTGAAATTGAGTTAATAAGCAACCATAGTCAATTAAAGGGTTAAGTATGCCAAATTTATATGCCCACCAAAGAGACACATAATTGTTTCCAAACAACCTAAGTCCCTACGCTTTTAAGTATCACCCTTTTTGATTGGATAATTAGGAATAAGAAGCTGCAACTGATACCCCTAATTAAATTTTAAATTAAAAAAAAAAAAACGAAGATGAATGGGTTCAACCATATTACCATCCCAAACCATCTCCTCTGTAAATCCACACCCCTTCCGATGTTGGAAGTACCGCCCCAGCTCTCCCTTCCATTTGTTGGAACTTTGTTAAATGGAAAACACTCTCTTTGGGATTTGTTCCACATCAAAGGCTTGGACTAGAGGGATTGGGTTGGATTTGGTGATTGGGCTAGGCAAATTGGTCTTGAAAGCTTATATTAATATATATATTTAATGGTCAAAGATTGGCCTTGGGCCTTGGGGTCTCATTGAATAGTTACAATATTTTATATATATATTAATTCCGATTTTGACTTTTATTATATATTAAAAATCTGTTAAATTCGTTTTAACTATTTTGACAGTTATTTTCGGTTAGCAGTTTTGGAGGGAAAAAACCTGGCAATCTATATGTATAAATAGATCACCAAAGACCAGATTTCGGGTTAAGAAAAATTGCATACAGATTCCTCTTATAATTTCGTACTCCAAATACAATGAAGGGAACATAGAGAATTTCGTCAGAATCAAAAGAAGTTCTTAGTTGATTTGTTGTATCCTCTAGACAGATCCCTACTAGGGAAATTTCTGTCTTAGAACACTGCAATTTGCAGGCCTCAATCTACATAATTTCGTTTTTGTGTTTCTATTGTAAGCATAAACCATTAAATATGTTTTCTGTAAACTGATTCTTGTATATATATATATATATATATATATATATATATATATATATATATATTTCAATTTCGTTTATTTTATTTCTATTAATCTTGTTGATTGTATACTTTTGTCATAACACCATTTTCATCAACCAGATCCAGACCCACTTGGTCCAGCTGTTTTCAAGATAATCTCTCTACAATGTAGAATTTTATCAACTTGAAGTACAAAATCATTTAACTTGCTATCAAGATCAAGAAAACAGAAGAAAGGAATTTATATTGGCTTGTAGCTTCGGCTCTCATCTATCTTATTATGTTGGTTGAGTTTAAGCTGAATCGATTTCAGCATTTAAGATATCTGGTCTAAATCAAGGTATATAGAACATAAATAGATGATGGTACCTAGAACAAACCATGGCTGTTGTAAAGAGGCTACATAATTTGTAGTGCTTAGTGCTTTGTATACATTGTATTCCATGTTTTTTTTTTTTTTTTTTTTTTTTTTTTTTTTTTTTTTTTTTATAATATGAGTTGGGATTGATTTATGGTATGAATTGTGGGTTGTTTAATGACTTTAATCAAATTTGGGGTTTATTTGTGTAATGATTAGAGTTTATTTTTGTTATGAATTCTTGGGTTTTTTTCAGGTATTTTTGTTCTTTGCATCTCCGACATGCTTTTTCCGTGGCATGTTGATCAAAAGTATTTTTGTTGTCTTTTAATCCAACTAATGGTTTGTGTGCTTCAGTTGGGTTTTTTACATTCTGGGTTTTTGAATTCTTGGAATTTTATTATTATTATTGGAGATGGTCTTATGGAAGCAATTTAAGATTAAGACAGAGGTCCTTATTATTAAAATAAAATATTAATATATGTAATAATACTAAAAGAAAAAGAAAAAATTGAAGGGAAAAACAGTCCTTTACATTAAATTTATCAAAAAAAAACTGTAATGGCGTTAGGAGAAAAAAATGTGATGGATTTGCCAACTATAAAAATATGTATACTACATGGACCAAATTTATATGTCTACATAATAAAGTATGTCAAACTTTACCATTGTGTTCTTTTTTTACTAAAAAATCATAAATGGCATTTATAACAAATAAAGTTACAAAATTTTAGTAAGCATTTGTTATGTTTTAAACTATTTTAAACTTGTTATAATAATCCTCTAATTAAAAATCATATGTTTTAGTCATTTTATAAATAAATGAGTTGGTCACATTTATACATGAATTGTTTCGCAAACATTACTTCAAGTGTTTTGTCGGTTAATGGTTAGTAACCTTATGTTCCAATTGTGATGCCCAATTTAAGTCATCCCATCCTTTTTTTATATAAAAGAAAAGCTTAGTCCTTAATCATGTAAGAAAGTTCAATTGAAAGTCATACCTGCTCTTGCACTTGGTTACTCTCTACTAATTCGCTGTTTTGCTTGTTTTCACCGGAATCCCTTATATTCATTTCCATAAGTGCTCTCAGATCAAAACTGGTGGTGGAAGGTGTGAATACATTTCTAAACCTCTCACATCTTTCAATACTTATGCTTTCAACAGCTTGAAAGCCATAGACGAGGGGACGAGAGTTATATGCACCTTTTATCCTCCACACCTCTCTTAGATTCCCTAAGTTCACCACTTTGATGCTTCTTAAGCTGCTAATGTTGTCTTCTTCACCAATTGCACCATTACAATCCAAGTCGATGTTGAATAACGATTCAATGGAACCACAATTCTTGACTTTAAGTTCTTCAAGATGATGCAGCAGAGACATGGGATTGCACGGAAATAGATTCACAAGGTTATGGCAATTATTCACTTCAATCTCTTTCAATTTAACTTTCTCATCTCTATTAAGTTCCCAAGGCCATATTTCCTTTAAGTTCTCCATGTCATCAATTTGAAGTGTCTCCAACTTAGGAATCACAACCTGCAAAAAAATCACCCCTTAATAGCCACATCCAAAAATAATACATCACACAATCAAATTACAAGTACATTTTCAAACTTTTAGTATAAAAGATTATTTAAATTGTATTTACATAAAGCATGTATATATCTACCTCTCCCTTAAACAAAGTAGATGTTTCCAGTGGAAAAATGCATGTGAAACCTGGAATGCCCTTAAGTTTCAAATCTATGAGTTGTGGTAACTCAATTTTGTTGAGATTAAGGCACAAACCTAATAGCTTCGGTAGTCCACCCAAAGATAAAAATTTCAGCTTGGGGAATGTAATTGTTTCTTTTCCACTACCCCCAGTCCCATTATGTATGATTTCTTCCATATTATCGCACTCATAAACTTCCATATGCTCAAGATTTGACAAAGTGTTTGCAACACAGAGTTTGAAAAGGTATCTCAACACCGCACAACCAGAAACGACAAGGACTCTTAAATTGCATAATGAAGAGGATTGAGAAGAATTTGAAGATATTACCTCAACATCTTCAAGATCAGTCATGTCATCTACACTTAAACAAAGCACCACAGTTTTCACAAACAACTCATTAAGTTTCGAGTCTAGTATGTCACCTTTGCTGGTTACTAACTGCAACGTGTTTTCATATGGGTGACTACTCTTACTGATATATCTATCTAAACGGCGTCCCACTGATATCTTGAATCGTTCAAGATTCTTAAATGACACATTCTTCATTTGATCCTTGTTATTAAGGAACTCTAATTCTAATGCGAAAAGGCTGCTTGAACGCTTTGACAACTCATTGTAGTTATCATCTATAAGACCAGATGAATTTCCAATATAAAGTTCTTCAAGTTTGATCAAATTTTTCAAGACACTCTGTTCTATACAAAGACCATGAGAACATCTCAGATCAAGTAGCCTTAATTTCTTTAAGTTTCCAATTGTCAAAGGTATCCGATCAATTCCAGAATCAACAAAGCTGAGCACTTCCAAGTTCAACATATTTCCAATACATGAGAAATCAAACATTCTTAATGAACATGCATGAAGTTGAAGCACTCGAAGGTTTATTGAGAATTGAGGTGATGAAGGAAGTAATGGATACTTCATTTCATCGTAAGATATTATCTGAAGCTTTTCCATTCCTTTATAAAAGTCTTGAGGAAACCTTAGCCACTTATCTCCATGCATAAGTTTCAAAATCGTTAGATTTGGGAAATTAAGGTCTCTTGGAAACTCAGATATACTCTCACATGATAATGAAATTGCTGTGCAAGAGTCGGTCATATTATTTTCAATAAAACCATGCATATTACCATGGCTGACAATTGAAGCATGCTCGACTTTACAATACATATCTAAAACAAAATCGCGCACCAAATCGTGAATCTTGATGTACCCAACATAATTACTTTCAATTAACAAATTTGAATCCATGAGTCTCTCAATACAAGAATACAACCTCGTTCTTGCCTTTCTAATGGTATACACTTTTTTGAATAAATTTAATCCCCACCCATATCTCACTAAATCCTCGGTAGGGATATCAAAGTCTTCGGGGAACAAACCGCAAAGCAAAAAAATGGCTTTGGTCTCCTCATCTTGGAGATTGCGGTAGCTCATCTCGAAAACTTCATTTGCAACATTTTCAGTTTCATGGTCCTCTAAACGGGAGAGTGCATCTTTCCATGAATCCTTGCTTTTATATCTAAGAGTTAGGGCCATGGTTTTTATGGCAATGGGTAAACCACAACACTTCTTTACTATATCTACCCGTATCTGATGAAGCTCCCGATCATAAATTTCTACGAATTGGAGGAACAAATTTTGTGCTTCTTCTTCTTCTAAGACTTTGACATTGATAATTGAATTATCTTTAACTCCCATCATTGTGCAAATATCTTTCTTTCGTGATGTCAATAAGACCTTGAAGTTGACACCTTGATTTGGTAAAGAAGTACTTAAACCGATATCTTCTAGATCAACAAATTGCCAAACATCATCAAGTATTATGAGGAACTTATTCTTACCCCCATCAGAGTTGTCATTAAACCATTTACGAAGTTTATCTGCTCTGGCTGATTTAGTGCTTTCACTTAGGTCTATACGAAGGTAGTCTGCTACAGCTTTCTGAATAGCAATAGGGTCTGTCTTTTCGCCTACAACCGCCATAACAATATAATTGAACATTTTCCTCTTTTCCACAACGTCTTTTATCCTTTTCATCATTGTGGTCTTCCCCACACCGCCCATCCCACATAAGGCTACCATGTGACCTTTGTGGTTCGATCCAAGTGCTTTTAGTGCTTCTTTAAAAGTCACCTCTCTTGACTGGAATACATTGTGTTCAATTGATGGGGTGGAGGTGGATGCCTTCATTGAATCGAGTACTTTGCCCAGAGGAATGGGATGATCAGTCCAAGTAATTAGAGAGTGTCGTCTCATCACACTATCAATCTCCTCAATTATATTGAAGGCATTCTTCCCTACCTTGTGCCTAATCTTTAAATTAAAGCAACTAACGACTTCACCAAGAACCTTTTCGGATTTTGCCATGATTTTTCCTACATCTTTCAACCAACCCTCGACATAGGTTGGAACCTCAAGATGATTACTAGTATTTCGCATCATGTGTTCTTCAACGCTGAATCTTGCAGCATTTAACTCCGTCATTTTAATACCCATGTTCCTCACATACTTCATGCAAGAAATAATGTAACGTAGGTAATCGTTAATGGGAACCATCAAAATTGGAATAACTTGTTTCATGATTTCATTAGTTGCTTCCATTGTTGGATATGCTTACTTGTGTAGCACCTACATAGTAGCCAATAATTAATCATACATAATTATGTGGAAATTAATAATAGACAGAGCAATTACATGTCCTATTGGATGAATTTAGTAAATTTGTATTGGCCCATAGATAGTCGAATAAATGATGTATTCCATAAAACAAGTTATTTTATAATTGAAATGAGTTTAAAATACAATGTTATAGAGTTCTAAGGACGATGCTAGTAATATAAATCAAGTAAATGGTTTTCATGGGCTAATTATAAAAACATTAAAATATGAATATGTTAAAGATGATGATAGCAATTACATGCATTTTAGATTAATTCTATCGATTAAGGTTGGAATTTATAGGTGATGTAATGTGTAAAGAAGTCAACTTTATAATTAAAGATGCATTTAATATTAGCTCATGTCTAGAGCCAAGATGTTGCTTATTGTTTAAAGTTGTATATCCCAAAACATTACTATAAGAAAAAATATAATTATGTTAATTCTTTATTTGTTCAAATCAATCAACAGTATCCCCATAGAAATATGTCGAAACATATAATTTTCAATCAAAATGACAATAAATCATTTTTAATAATGACTAACACTTATCTATCATTTTGACTTTGGATTTAATTATAATTATGGTTATACATCAGTTAAAAACATAGTAGAGTTTACACTTGTTGAAATCGCTCGATAGTAAAAATGATTATTTTGTCATTTCATTGAAAATGATGTGTTTCTACATATTTTTTATGGCAATATTATCGTTCCATTCCAAAAAAAGAAGAGATGTACTATTCAATTATAGTTTTTTGTTTATACTAATGCTCTAGAGATGCAAAAACTTGAATCGTCTTCAACAACACCACTAAAACTAGCAAGGATCTAGTAGATGAGGTTAAATTGTTAGCATTCAATTGGTTAAATATTGGAACTAAGAAAGCGATTATTATTAATTGTAGAACTAATGTATGGATCCAAAATTAGAATGCGTCATAGACTTGTAATCCAAGCTTCTCACTAGCATTTTTCCTTATAAAGTGTTTTTTGATGTAAAAAAAACATATATCTATTTTAGGGGATCCTTCCATTGTAACATCTTCAATTTGATCCCATAGTTTTTTTTCCTTAAATAGTGAAAACAAAACTTGTGGTAAACTAAATAAAATAAATCATAAATTGAAAATAAAGAATAAGAAAATGAGTTAGTAAAAGGTTTAGATTAAAAGGTAAAGAGGATAATAATTTGTATTTAAAATAGAAAATACATGAGGGAGGGATAAATCAGACAAGTATCAATTAAAAACTAGTTCCTTAGTGGTGAAAATGAAAGAATAGGTCTTGGAGGGGCTTAAGGTGTCAAGTAATTAAATATGTATAAGTGAGACCAGTTCTCTTCCCTCGCATTTTACCCCAATTTGATCTACAGAAAATTAAATAACAGATGGCGTTTTCATGATGCTAATTTTAGTCTTAAAGTTTGATTGCATGCATATAGACGAGGGAAGTAATGACTTATGGTGACTCATAGCGAGTATAATAATGGCCTTTAGTGACTAATAACGAGTATTATGGTATCTCATATCAAGTATTAAGGTGACTTGTGGTGACTTATAGAGAGTATTATGGTGACTTGTGGTGATTCATAGTGACTATTAATGTGACTTGTAATGATTAATTGTGAGATGAGAGTTTAAACCTAAACAGTTTAAGATGAGCAGTTCTACTTGGGATGACTAAGGGTTTGGGAACTTATTTGCAATGCATAGTGAGTCTTGCACTATTTGTTTATTTATGATGTTTATATGAGAACGGACGTTAATAACAATGTACTTTGACTTATTTTATAGTTTTCTCCAAGATGAGTTTTGTTGTAGTAAAGACACTAAAAAAAATGAAAAGCGAAACAAGAAAGAGAAAAAAAATAATTTTTTCTTATAAAAACAAAAACAAAAATAAAAAACATGAAAACAGAGTATATATCTATTTAAATGTTAAAAAAATTTTAAAAATCGAATATAAATGAAAATAAAAGAAAATAAATAATAAAACCCACTTAAATAACGTTCCATGAACATTCGTCGCACATGATTAAATCCTCGAGTTTGTATTAATTACCACCAATGTGGGTAGCATGCGAACACATCACCGGAGCCAAACCCTATATATATATATATATATATATATATATATATATATATATATATATATATATATATATATATATACCCGTGCAATGCATCGGGATATAATTTTCTACAGTAAATGGATGGTTCGATCGATATATTATTTCCTTCCGAAAGTCAACCTTAAAAGGTATTAGCTATAGATTTTATGATTTTCTTGCATTATATGGTAAATCTTAATGAGGTTACAAGATATAATAAGTACGAAATAATGAAAAATAAATAGATTTTATGATTTCTTGCATTATTAGGAAAAACATTAGAATATTAATTTTCAAGCTTGTAAGTGGCCCATCATAATTATATGACATCTTATTATAACTTTTAGCATTGTAATATGGTTAATTTTTGAAAAGCCAAAGGCAGTTAAGTGATTATAATTTTCTAAAAGATTGATCTTAACTTGTACAAACTTTCAAATAGGAAAACTCATACTCTAACAATAGCAATTGTTTAAAGAGCGATGGTCCTATAAAAAACTTTCAAATGGTTGTTTTTTCACTAATTAAAGTTTTCGTATTCAAATATCTTTGGTGACTAATATAGCGCATTATAAATGCAACGACTTCCATATACAATAACAAAACCTACAAGATATAGCCAAATTTCATTCATAATCATTTCACGTTAGAATATGATATAAACTTAATAGATGGGCAACAGTAGAGTTGTGCATGGGTCGATTTGGGTCGGTTTTGGACCCAAACCCAACTGGTTTTTAGAACCCAATAGGATCGGTTTCTTATAGGTTCAATTTCGTGGGTTCTGAGATCGGTTTGGGTGGTTTTTTGGTTTCTTGGGTTCAACCCATACACTCACGAGAAGATTTATACCCTCAAACTATCAAGATTGACAACTTTAGCATCACTTGTAAAGGCGACAAAGGGTGAGATGATGGTTTGATTTTCATTAGAAGATTTATAGACAATACCGGAATTCGGGATATAAATTGTACGTGAAAAGAAAATTCATGATTCCAAATTTGAATTCGATAAATATAGGATCCGATTTAATATATACAGTTAAGAATTATTAGCTTGTTCAAGCACAATAGGATTGTTTTTTATGTTTAATAATATATACTATTCAACTTTATAGGTTAACCGATGGTTACATGAAGTGGAGAAAGAAATAAAACCTAAGATTTAGGAGAGTCGATTTATGCATTTTCTAATTGTATAGTATGCTATAAAACTTATACCTCTTAATGTTGAAGAATTATATATATATATATATATATATATATATATATATATATATATATATATATATATATATATATATATATGGGCTTAGGGAATATGTGGTTGTCATGTACCTAATGTTAGGTATAGAACCATCCAAAAACTATAGATTTTTAACAAAATGTCATCGAATCTCTCTACCATCTTTCTTGTATCCTCTATTAGAACTTATACTAAGCTTTGTATATATTTTTATGGAATTTTATAAGTTTGATTTTGCAGCACAAACCATATATAAGAGCATCACAAACCATCTATAAAAATATTTTACCAACTATTTGTAGGTCTTCAATTGAAATTTAATATAAAAAATACATTGAAAGATTGAAATTATTTATTAAAAAAACTCAATAAACTGCTTATCATAAGACATCATAGAAAACCCATACAAGTATACATAAGATAGGTATTGAAGGAAGTTATGAAACCTATTAAAGGTCTAATAAAAAACACATTTGAAATAGAAAGATATTGAAGATAAATCACCAAATAAAATATAATATAAGTTTAAAGGCAATAGGAAGCTAAATATTAAAGAAAAATGTATTTTTTAATCAAAATAAAGTCGATTTTGATGGTTTTATACCTAACATTACATACATGACAGCCACTTATTCACTTTTCCATATATATATATATATATATATATATATATATATATATATATATATATATATATATATATATATATATATATATATATATATATATATAGTAGTATGGTACTCGCACAATGCAATGGTCGGGGATTGGGGCGGTGGATGCTTGATGCTTTTTTCGATGAATGATTACGTAACAATTTAATGCGACAGGTGGCATTTAGTACGTTGTTTAGTTTAAAATAAATGTTTGTTGTGGTTTTGGTTTTGGTTAAAAATAAAAGTATAATGGTTTTTTAGTTTAAATATATAAGTACCTTGTTGGTTTGGTTTAAAATAAAAGTAAGTTGTTACTTTTGGATAAAGTTTAAGTATCTTAGTATGTTGCTCTCGCTTTAAAAATAAATTTGCTGCTATTTTACATTAAAATGAAAGTAGGTTGCTCTTGGTTTGAAAATAAATTTGCTGCTATTTTACAATAAAAATAAAAGCTTGTTATGGTTTTAGTTTAAATAAATGAATGTGGTTGTCTTGGTTTGGTTGCATACGTAAAGCACGACTCATTGCTTGTTGGGGTTGGGTTTTATTTTATTGCAAATCTGGGAGCAAATTGTTATGATTAATGTTTAAATATAAATTAAATAATAAATAACATGAAACATATAAACGTAAAAGTATAGTAATCAGAATCGAAATTGGACTATAAATATTAATGATACCACAACAAGGACCAAAATTGAAACAATAGACCTTTTAGGACTAAAATTGCAAACAAAATATTTATTGGGACCAAAAATAAGAAAATTATACTCAATTGGGAAAAAATGTAATTTACTATCATATTGATAATCAAAAATTGAAATGGTAAATAACACTTAGACATCCACATTAAAACAAAAGCAAAATCAAATATAACTAATTCCATATGTGTCGAAATGGTCATAAACCAACATAAAAATCTTAAATCC